TCCGACCACGACTAGAGGGACACAATTCCCTAAATAAAAACCCCAGAAGGTGTCAGCGTAATGTACCCTAAATAGAATACTATTTTACTTCAAGACAAATTAAACAACTTCACTATATTTAATTAAAAAATCTGTTAAAAAAAATCATCAAGTCGTTTGTCATGAATTAAAAAAATTAAATGTTATATCAATTTTTTAGCCACTTATACACATTAATTAGAAAAAAAAAACACTAAATTAAAGGGTAAATTACACTCACCTTTCCTGAAATTTCTGACAAATACAAGGACCTTTCTTGTGGTTTGAATAATTATACATACATCCCCTACTTTACCTAACATTGTCAAAATTCCCCCCTGTGTGAACCTCCGTTACCTCAGGTAACAGAACCTGTTAATGTCATCAGCAAAAAAGCCAAAAATACCAATAATGCCCTCAGGGCAGTTGATCTCAGGTATATATACCAAGCACAACACAAAGCTCCATAGTGCATAACTCAAAATTCCAAGCCAAGAGAAAAACCAAAAAGCCAGCTAGAAGTGAAAGAAAAGAAGCACAAGTCAGAGCTCCAGAACCAAGCACAACACAGCTATTTAACTATTATGTAAACACCATGGAGCATCATGCATGTTCAATTACAATATTCCACGAAGTACACAAAATATAAATATAAACACCAAGTGAATATACTTTATACCCACCACAAAAAACAAAAGTGGGTACATCATTTGAGAGTATTTGTTACTATGCTTAGTATGTCATGTCCACTACAAAAATACAAAAAGTGAAACATGATCTGAGACTAACTGTGCACTACATCAATATGTGTTATATACCTTAAACTTGTGATAAGAACTTGTACAAAAAACATCATCATCTTAGCTAAGTCATCCGCAAGAAGAAAAAAAAAAGAAGAAAAGAAAACCCTTTTTTCAAGGTTCAAGTAATGAAAAAGAAAAAAAAATGTAACTTCACAAAGCACAAGAAAAACTTATATGTGCATGCTTGCCCTTGTCCTTGCCCTTGCCCTTGCCCTTGCCCCTGCCCTTGTCCCTGTCCCTGCTTCTTCCAATTGAACTTCATTTCCTACTTGACTGTTCTCTTCTAGTTGAATGTCCCCACCCAATTGAAGTGCCCTTTCCAATTGAAGTGCCTTTTCTAGTTGAGGCGCCCTTTCAGTTGATGTTGCTTCACTATTTTGGTTCATCCTGCTACATATGTCACTACAGGAAAAAGCACATTTGGCGACCAAATTTCCCAACTAAAAAAAATTTGGTCGCTGAAAGTATAGCTTTCAGCGACCAAAACAGAATTAGTAGCCAAAAGTAAAGCTTTTTGGTGACTAAACAATTTTAGTAGCCAAAGTCTACAATTGGCGACTAAAAATAAGTTTGGTTGTTGATTATATAAGTTTTAGTGACTAAAAAATTTTTAGTAGCCCAAAGTAAAGCTTTTTGGTGACTAAAAAAATTTAGTAGCCAAAAGTCTACAATTGGCAACTAAAAATAAGTTTGGTCGCTAATTATATGAGTTTTACCGACTAAAAAAATTTTAGTAGCCAAAAGTCTACAATTGGCGACAAAAAAATAAGTTTACTCGCCAAAAGTGGTCATTTTTGGCGACTAAAATTATTTTGATCACTAAAAGTTAATTTTTTATTTTTATTTTGCTACTAAATAGTTTATTTTACATAAATTATGTAATAAAATAATTATATTTATACATATACTTTTATATTAATATGGGTGTATGTACTATATAATAATGTACGTCACATATACAATCATGTAGTGCTATAGAGGCATAGTGGGAAGAGTGTGGTGTATAAGGTTTATGGTGAGGGAGGTTGGCAGTTTGAGTTTCCGCAAGAGCGGATCAAATTGTTCTACGAAAAATTTTTTTTTTTTTTTTTTTCACGTTTGAAGCTTTTGGCAACAAAAGGTGTTGGTCGGCGATTCCTTGACTATTGGCGACTAAAACATTGGTCGGTAAATGTATAATTCTAAAGAAATATAATTGACTATTGGTGACCAAAATTTTGGTCGCTAAAGACTTGTTTTTTGCCGACCAAAGTTGTTTTGGTCAGCAAAACCCTCCAAGACCTTTCCCGATAGGGTTTTGGTGACAAATATTTTAGTCTGGAAAAGAAGATGCACGAATCCTCCAAGGGCATCCCTCAGCAGCACAATAGGCTGTCACTCTGGCTTTCTCATTTTTGTCCCTCACTATCTTGAAAATAGTCTGCATTGTATGGTCCTTCAATGTAGCTCTGAACCTATGCACATCTGGAAAAATCATTTCATTTTCTAATACCACTTCTCCTTCTTGATTGAAATAAAGTTTTTTTTCCAATGTAGGTACTATCAAATTGGTTGCCTGGATATGCCATCTCTTCATCATCCATCCAGTCTACTTCACCATCAAATTCATCATCACTGCTAGAATATCTTACTTCATCATCACCAGATTGGTAATCACTAAGTACATCATCATTATCTTCATTTGACTCATCATTACCATCATCACACAAACTCTCAATGCTATTTGATTCATGTTCATCGTCAACAGTTGCATTCCAATCCCCATCATCATCACTAAACCCATAGACATTGTCCTCATGGTACTCTTCATCCACGTCTACATCACCTCCACTATTGCTATCTCCAACATCATTTCTATCTCCACCATCTTCCATTCTAAGAGAATATACAATATCAACATATAAGTAAATTGTTTTACTCCTACCTTGCACATAAAACATATCCAACACATCAAGATCATTTTCTATTAATCTCCTATTCTCAGTACCAGGCATATCACAATGCAATGTGATAGCAATTGCTTCACTACAAGCAATATGAGAGATGACTGTTGCAATCACATCCTTCAAGGCATCAATGTAGCAATACATATTTGGGTCCACATCATATACTTTGCCCACTTTGCCTTTATAGTTGATGATTAGATCAAAATAAGGGAATGCAGCCATACTGTGATCACAACAAATAACAATTAATTACAAAAAATAACTCCATTCGACAATTACTCACCCAAATGTAACAAAATTCATAAGCAGGAGACTCCATTCGACAATTACTCACCCAAATGTAACAAAATTCATAAGCAGGAGACATAAAAAAACATAATAAAAGCTCATATAATCATAATTTCTTAACAAAAAGAATTTTAAAAAATCCTTAAATCATTATTCTAAAAAAATTAAGAAGAAAATTATTTTTTACAGTAAATTAACAAAACCAAATCCCCATTTTCATAACAAACATAAATAAAAGTTCATATAATACAATCATAATTGCATAAAATCAAAAATCATAACAAAAAGAAGACAAAAAAAAAAAAATGCCGAACATGTTAAAAAAAATATGGCTTGGCCAGTTGACCGGCTGGACGTTCGGCAGGACATCTCCACGGATGACCGATCACCCAACATCTCGCAGCCGGACTGCTCATTCGTTCGTAAAGGCATGCAAATCTGAAAGGGACTACGAATTCGAAAGGGACTACAAATCTAGAGTGCCAAAATTAAAACAAACATGAGCTAGATGGACTGTTACTCCAAAAAACAAACATGGATGAAGTATGAAAGAACTGGACTACTACTACAGAAAACAAACGGAGACGAAGTATAAAAGGTTTGAAATCTTTCCTGAAAACTCTAAAATCAACTTCTCACTGATCAATCTCTTTCACATTTTGCACTGGCAACGATGATCGAACAATCTCACCAAAATCTCAAGCTTATTCGTCGTTTGTTCACATCGATTAGTCTTCTTCAAAGATTTCCTCTCTCTCTCTCTCTCTCTCTCTCTCTCTCTCCCCCAAATTCGATTGAAATCAGAATAGACAGTGAATTAGAGATTTAGGGTACAAAGGTTATTATCGTCTTTTCATGTTCCAAAGCAAGGGTAATAAGGTTGTTTAGTATATGTAAGTAACACCATTTTTGCTAATTTGACGGAATGGGGGAATCTTGACAATGTCAAGTAAAATAGGAGAGGTTTATGTAATTATTTAAACTATAGGGAAGGTCTCTGTATTTATCAGAAACTTGAGGCGAGGTGAATGTAATTTATCCTAAATAAAATAACCTTAAACGCCCATTTTGTTAGGATCTTTGACAAACAATTACATATAAAATTTGTGAGTCTTAATATTTTTAAGCCACCCGATACAACTTGTGTAATGCGTAAATTCTTATAAATATATTACATAATATAAATATAAATTTATGTAAGTTAATTCATAAAAATTTTAAAAATTACAGTTTGACTTAAGTTCTTAAAAATATACGTATGTCACTTCACAAAATTGCATAACTTAAACACAAATTCACGTAAGTTAATATATAAAAATTTAAGAAATCACAACTTAGCGTAAGTTCACATAAACATACATAAGGCACCTCATATAATCGCATAACTTAATACAAATTTACATAAGTTAACCCATAGTATGTAACTTAAATCACAAAAATATATAAATAAATGGCATACTGTTGCATACTCAAGAATTTTTCTAAACTTCATGGGGAGGATAGTGAATTTTTTAATATTATAATTACTTTTTTTAAAAAATATAAATTTTACTTAAAAATTATTTAAAAATTCACTAATTTCCACACTAATTTTATGATCTCAACCCCCACATAGGATTGATAGTCTTACCAATAAAGAGATTAATAGTTTAGGAAATAATTAATTCCCTCGCTCATGTATTCAATTAAATACTTTTTAGATAAGTCACACGAACTTTTAGTTAAATCTTCCTCCTAAAGAGCGAAACAAATATGTTCTTACTTTTTGCATGGCAAACATATCTAACCAATGAACAGCTTCCACATCCTGAGTGTCGTGCGGAAGAAACAGACTCCACGCACGAAATAAACCATTTTGATATAAAAATAAATAAAAATCATCAGTTCCGCCTTTTATAAACCCCTCGCGCTTCAGAATTCAAAATCATTTCCAAAATCACAAACTCTCTCCCTCTCTGAGTATTGTATCGAAAATGCATGCATTCAAGTAAGCTCTCATTCGTAGAATCACCTTTTCGATTCAATTCCAGAAATTAACAAATTGTATTGCAACAGAGACCTAATGATTTGTTGATTCTCTGTTTGTGATTGAGCTCAGGTCCGAAGAACAGAGCCAGTTACAGCTCGTTGAACGAGAAGAGATTGAAGATGAAGAAGACTTGTTCGAAGCGATCGACAAACGTAACTACTATACACAACTATTATAACTTCTTTTGTTTCTCTTCATTTCTTCGAATTGTCGATTACTCCTCGCTCTCATATTGTTTTTCTGTACACTAGTTTTGATTTTTTCATGAACATCAACGTGTTTTGAACTCGACATTCTGTTCATTTTGATGTTTGTTGCCAATTTTTCTTTCATCTGCACACTCGTCTGTAAATTCGTGTTAATCCTACCACAAGTCCTTCAATCTCAATTCTATTCGTTTTCAAAGTTTTGCTATATTTTCGTATATATATATATTTATTTGTGTTCGTTCATTTCTGTGTAACTTTGATTTATACTCAGATTCACATATCTTTCTTATCTGCTTTTAATTTTCGTCTATATATCTTTGCTGTAAGTTCAATAGTCATGATCGATGATGGATTTTTGTGGTTCTGCATGTATAGAAATTGTATCGACATGTGCTCTGTTTTAACCTAATCGAAGTTTAATTTATAATTTCGTTTTGTTTGTATTCATGTGATTTTGCAGTGATTGCTCATGGAATCAATGCCGGAGATGTGAAGAAGCTTCAGGATGCTGGGATCTACACTTGTAACGGCTTGATGATGCACACGAAGAAGGTACATTGATTTTCAGTTTCGATTTTGTGAAGTTTATAAGTTTGGCGTGTTTTGGCTACCTTAACCTCAATTTTGCAGAACCTGACTGGGATTAAAGGATTATCTGAGGCAAAAGTTGATAAAATATGCGAAGCTGTTGAGAAGATAGTGGTTAGAGCTTTGATTAATCAATAGTACTATTTTTTCTTACATTAACTATTGTTTCTTCTCTGATTATTTACACTTTCTGATTTTTTTTTTCTCTCACATTTATCTCAGAATTTTGGTTACATTACAGGAAGCGATGCTCTGCTCAGAGTAAGATGTGAAATTTTTTCATTATACTTCTAATAGAGTTCACCAGTGAACATGCTACATGACAATTTCAAGTTTTTTAAACTTTTGGCGGAGAATTTGGAATATTGAAACAACGGCACATATTAGCAACTTTCACGAGTTATTTGGCTGAGTTTGTAGATTTTACAGTTAACTTGATTGATTGCTCTCGTTTGGTGTACAGAGAAAGTCGGTGGTTCGTATCACAACTGGAAGCCAGGCTCTAGATGAACTCTTGGGAGGTAATTTTCAATATTTATCTATTGTTTGTTTATGGATTCACTAGCTGTAATTACACGTAATTGACAATAATGTCTTTGCATTTGTTAAGGTGGAATTGAAACTAGGGCAATTACAGAAACTTTTGGGGAATTCCGGTGAGAACCACTCTTCCTCATATATTCAAACCTTTATTATATTTGTAATGACAGCAATCACGTTTTAAGTTTTTAAGTAATTTCTTCTATTTTCATTTTTAAATTTATTAATTATGGTTCTGATGGTTTGGTTTATCAACATTTTGATTCAGATCTGGGAAGACACAGCTTGCGCATACACTCTGCGTTTCTACACAGGTTTCTTTCTAAACCTTCAACTTGATAGCAATGACCAAGTCAATGGATAATGTAGATACACTGTTTGTTTGATCTTTAGTAACCTATAACTTCAGGCATTGATGTTAGTGGAAGGTCAAGACCAAAAAAAATATAAAGGTTAATGGAAGGTGCTCTACATTCAAAATGACTACTCTTTTACAATTTTTATTTTTTATTTTTATTTTTATTTTTTGTCCAAATACAAACTACATGTAAAATTTTGTGTCAATAGAAATCAGATATCCTTTAAACTGCAAAAGGATGGAAAGCAGGATGTCACATGATTGTTCTGTGCTATTTATTATGGTTAATTACTGAATTTAGGCTTGTAGTGAACACTTGCAAGTAGTTTTATCTCTACATTTACTTTTGCAGCTTCCCAGTAGCATGCATGGAGGGAATGGAAAGGTCGCATACATTGATACTGAAGGAACTTTGTATCCTTTCTGATTGTTCCTCATTGTTCTTAGCCTTTAATAGTTCTCCTTCCAAAGAACTCTCTACCTTATTGTAGTGTTTCTCCTCAACTAAATTCGCCTTGCAGCCGGCCTGATCGAATTGTTCCAATAGCTGAAAGGTTTGGCATGGATGCTGGAGCTGTCCTTGATAATGTAACCGTCACATTTTCCCTTCAGCATCCATGGATTATGGTGGTGAATACCAGAACTAAAAATATCTATTTGCACATGTGACAGATCATTTACGCACGGGCATACACATATGAGCATCAGTATAACCTGCTTCTCGGTCTTGCTGCAAAAATGTCTGAGGAACCTTTCAGACTTCTGGTGAGAAACTGTAATAACAGAATGATCCCTATGATATCATAATTCCCGATGGACTGATATTCATGTATATTGATCCTTCCAGATTGTGGATTCTGTGATTGCTCTGTTTCGTGTGGATTTCACTGGTAGAGGAGAACTTGCAGATCGCCAGGTTTAACTTCAAGTGCCTTACAATGTCAACTATTATTTGGAAGTACTAACAATCTTTCTCTTCAAGTGCAAATTCTCTAAATGACACAAGTGGGCTGCCATTTGTAGCAAAAGTTGGCGCAAATGCTTTCCCGGTTAATAAAGATAGCTGAAGAGTTCAATGTTGCAGTCTATATGACCAACCAAGGTAATCCCTTATGTCTTGATCAATCTGAATCATATCATCGATCTGCACATGAAAAGTTTTCAATCTAGAACTCCAAATTTGAGAATCTCTCTATTTTTTATTGTCACTAAAATGATTTGTAGTTGTATGAGTTAAATAAATTATTAAGCGATTTCAATCCTATAATTGATGCAGTTATTGCTGACCCGGGCGGAGGGGTCTTCATATCAGATCCAAAGAAGCCTGCAGGAGGGCATGTTCTCGCTCACGCTGCCACAATACGGTTGATGTTTAGAAAGGGCAAAGGTGAACAGCGTGTCTGCAAGGTATTCGATGCTCCAAATCTGCCGGAGGCTGAAGCAATATCCATCCCCTGTTTTTCCACTTGTTTAATTCTAGCTTTCATGACACCTAAATCGCTAAATCATTTGCATTTATCCTATAATGGTGACCATTTGAATACGATCAGATAGCAGGCAAGCTAGAATCTCCAGCACTACCTAGTGTCGGGTTCATTGATCCATAGCAAAACCATCACTTTGCGTCACAAATTCAACATCTCTATTTGAGCATTTAAATAGAATAACCCCATAAATTCATTGACAAAAGTTGTTCTTGACAAAAACACATATTTCAGATTACACCAGGAGGAATTGCAGATGCAAAGGACTGAAGTTCGCCCTTTTTGTTCTGTTCTATAATGCTAGAAAATACTAACTAGTTGACATGGTTTCTTTTTTTTTTGATTCTTTTTTTTTCCCACTTCTTGCTATCTACTGTGAATTCAGATGCTTTCTTATTGCTGTCTACTTATAGTTGAGCTTAAATAAGTTGTACAGTACAGGATGTACAAGCTATTTTGGTAACGGAAATGACACTATATTGGTTCTAAATGTTAGCAGCTTATAGAGGATGTAGCCGATTAATGTCGATGTATTAGTTCTAAAATTTATTTCAAAAAATAAGAGTTTTTCAACTTATTTTCTTGGATTATGTGGAAGTGTGGTTAATAAACATATTTAAAAAAAAAAAAAAAACATATTCAGTAACCATATTTCCAAAATTCGTTGTTTTGGAATTAGAATTAGAGTAGAAGCACATGACAACACTTTGAATGTATCAATTAATGTACTAATTAATATACTAACAAATAAGGTGACATAATTTTAGAGGTTTTGGATATTTGTAATTTGTATAATAGGTGGAGTTAGTAATAATGACATAACATTAGTTAGTATACTAGTGTGTACGTTAATTGGTGTATGTAGCACCACCGCAACACTTTATATCAAAACATTATTAGCAATTATGTTTTTTTACTAGAGATTGTTTAAACTAGAAAACGTGCTGACTAAACACACTTTCACAAGAAATAAGTTGAAAATTTTCTTGCTTCAAAATCAATTTTGGTGTCGTTTGGGAAGTGGGTTGGCTTTTTGACTTTTTGGTTTTTTTGACTATTTTAGCCTAGGTTAAAAATGTTGGTTTGGGAAGGATTTTTTAACTTTTTTGCTTTTTTGACTTTTTTTTGTGAGATAAGATTGTAATGATTGTGGGTTGGATATGATATTTCGTTTTTTGTAATTAAAATAGCCTATTTTGTCTTTTGTGACTAAAATAGCCAAAAAAAGTCCCAAATAGCTCTTCCCAAACGGAGCCAACAAGCCGATGTAGGAAGGTCAACACATCGAACAATCAATTTCCAATGTAAGTGAAATTATTCCATGTTAATTGGTTATGGAGCCTGAAAAAAACGCTTCACACAGCATTGGGTTTCTTAAGTTTGCTTAACGTGTTCCATCAAAGCAACACTCATCAAGATGAGAACATAACAGAATATGGGAAACGATGAGAGATGGAAGGCCAACTCATTACAAAAACCTTCAATAATGAAGATGGTTGTGAGCTTAGTAGTTTTCTGACCAGTTTGCAGCGCTCCCAACTCTATGCATGCCAGTAGTATCCTTCCGAGGTTCTGCATCTACCTTGAAAGTTGCACCACATACCTAACCAGAACTGTCAACCCTTGGCACCGGCTTCAACTCATTAAGTGGGTGCTCGAAATTCCTCAAGCCTCCGGAGGAGGTAAAGAAGCAGCCTGAGGAAGATAATAAAACAGATAAACCGAGAAATCTACTGCTTTTAATTAAAGAAGAAGAAGTAGAAGCAAATACGTGTGAAATTGATGTTAGAATTAGAAGTAATGCAAGAAACTATATCTGAAGAAAGGAAAAGAAAAGAAAAGAAAAATCAAAATAGTCTTATTCCAAACTGCTTTTGATTGCTTCAAAGAAAAACAATCTGTTTGGTATTATCCGTTGGGTAATATTAGGGATACTAAATTTTTTACCAAATAAATGATCAAATATCTATGGAGTCCGCAATTTATTTGATAGAAAATTTAAGATCTATAACATTTTCCTCATCCGTTTTCATTTTCGTATTTTTAGAAATAAAAACAATGAAAAATTCAAAAACACGCATTGTATGTTTTCATTTCTATGTGAATACAATGTTCAAAAATTCCAAAACAACTTTTGGTGTTTTCTAGAAAATGGGTTGTTTTCAAAATAATAATAATAATAATCCCAAAACAATTTGCCAAACAAATTTGTTGTGCTTTCTGGAAAATGAATACAAATAATTAAAATATACCACTTAGGACCTTTTTTTTTTTTTTGTATCTGAAGAAAATTTCATTTAAGAAAATTAAACAGCACTTACAAGAGTCCATCCAACCCAAAACTTATACCAAACAAAGTGAAAATAAAACGAGAAGCACGAAGGAGAGAAAACTATGAAAATATTCAGACGCACATTTCGTACTCATGCTCGCACTGCGAAGCAGAACCGATCATAAAAGTTCAGCAATAGAGCATGTCCGAGAAAAATTATAGATCCTAACCATAGAGAAGGTAAGCTTAACAATCCCACACTGATGGACTTTAAATAACCAAACAAACAGTAGAACAAAACATAAAAGAAACCAAAAAACCAAGAACAAGCCCGCAACCAAACAAACTACCGGCAGAGACAGCAGCGAATCTGGCGGGTGGTGAAGGCGGCGGGAAAGTGGGGCTGAGATTCTGGCAGAGAAAAAGGGGATCTGGGGAAACATCCGGTAGATTTGGGGAAGAAGGTAATGATTGCTGAAAATTGAAGGTGGACGAGGAGGCGACACCGGCGGGAGACGGAGAAGAGGCATGTTGGCAGATCCGTGAAGGCCACTCCCGAAGTTAAAATGGAGGGGAGACAGAAACACCTCACAAACGAGGGAGAGGGTGGAAAGCCAAAGCTTCCAAGTTATTGGATAGCAAAGCAAGGAAAGAAAAGAGAAAAATAGGGGTAAGGGGAGGGGAGGGGAGAGGAGGCCAAAGGCTGTCGAAACCCCCTCCCCCACCACTGACTACCGCAGCCTCTGAAAACCCTAAGGAAAGAAAAGTCTAGAGAGAAAAGCTCTCAAACGAGAGAGAGAGAGAGAGAGAGAGAGAGAGAGAGATACTTAGGACCTAATGAGCTGCATAATCTAAATCCAACATAAATTAAGAAATTGTTGGTTCTCAGGATTAAAGCAATGGAAGTGCTTGGGGAACAAATGTTGAATCCGTTATGAAGTTTCATTTCAGCCACGTTTCCCAAATTTCAGAATGATTCTTGTGCCATTTTCTCTCTTGTTTCCAACCGTAAATCAATAAATTTAGAAGCAGATTATCGCTTGTTATCCATGAGCTTGTGCATGTTTATAAAGCGTACTTTTCTTTAAAAAAAGGAAAAAAAGAAAGTAACTGCATGGGAAAAATGCCTAACCATGTAGACAAGTCCATCCATGGCAACCACAAATTGATAGACACATGTATATGTATTATATTGTACCTTTCAGAAATGGTGCAAAGTGTGCGAGGGTGATTTCCGCACTATGAAGAAGGGTTGAACTTCGTGGATAAACAGGGTGCTTTGGGAATTGAAGATCTGCACAGAATAACAAACGGTGAGGCTGCCCGACCGAGGTTTGGTCGGAAACCCCTCCGATGATAAAGTCAGGGACTAAGGGAAAGGAAGATGAGAGAATACAGAGTGTGTATATGTTAAGTGCGTGGATTTTCGGATCCCTTGAGAATGAATAGTGTTCACCTTTTATAGGAGAAGGTTATTTGTCGTTCAAGTCCTTCTCTCTCCGCCATCTATCCAATATGTCTTATTCGTGGTCGTCTCCCATTGGAAGAGGACAACCACTCCACCTGACACTCGGGTGCAGGTCTGTTTTGTTTGTCTCATTAGCGGACATCTCTCATTGGAGGAGGGTGACCACTCCACCTGCCATTCAGATGCAGGTCTGTCATATGTGTACATTGTCCCTCTGCACCTCCATGTCTCCACGTTCTGTTCACACAGTAGGAGAGGAGCAGAGTTATTTGTCTCTTACGGGCCCAAGAAAGATCTTCAGCGAATTGGCCTTCTCTAAGTTGGTTTGCTCTAGAATGGTTGTCCAACCAGGAGGTCCAACATGTTGCTCTACCCACTTCGGAGTGGTTGTCTGTCCATCAAGGAGGTTCAACATGTTACTCAACCTACTTCGGAGTGGTTGGCTGCCCGTCCAGGAGGTCCACCATATTGCTCGGCCCATTTCGGAGTGACATTCGTACATTGGGCCGAGCTCCTACTGCTTCGAAGTAAGTGTTGGCCATAGGGTCGAGGTCCAACCTAGCTCAACCTCGGAGTGAGCATCGCATTGGGCCTAGCACCAAGACTTGATTAATTTTTACCCACTTCATTTGCCCCCTGGCTTGCGCTTACGTTTGGCGAAACGGAAGCCAATTCTGTCACAAACTTCGAAGTTTGGTTGATCACAACTTAATTTGAGCTTCGTGAGTTGGATTCAAAATTATTGTTCGGCCCAACGTTTGCGTCTGCCCAATATTTTGTAGCTCGGTTTTGCCCCCAAACTAAATGTGTATTTTCACTAGCCTCGTAATTGTCTAGCTTGGTGCTCTTTCAGTCGGCTGAGCATCGTTGCTTGACTTGAAAAACATATATATATACACAATTTTTTTTTTTTTTTGGTTACACATATATTTTCAAAATTCAACAATTGGACCGAGCAATACAATCTGCTTCACAGCAGTCCAAGCAAGCCTTATCATAGTCAAACTTTAACTTGTATTGATAATGTTGATGGGTAATGTTTTGTGGGCCCTACCTTGATGCCATGCATGGTAATAGCATACAAATGTGATTTGCTGGGGACTTGACATTGTGTTACTCTTGGTGAAATTGGCGTGGGGCCTACAAACTTGGTGCTCCACTTAATCAAACTTTTAAGCTTGCCATGGAAAAGTTTGGTGGACCATGTGCTGACTTTTATGCTTTAATCACCGTATGCATATTTTTGCTTGGTTGGTTTGCACGTTGGTTAACCAAGCAGGACATTGGAGGCCGAACAATTCAACATTATTTAATACGCTTATTCTGTCCCTATTTGAGAAACATTGGCTCTGTTTATTCGGTCCCACTTGTAAGAAATTGTTGGCGGCCTCTATGCTTGGTCGACCAAGCCTTATTCCTTTACTCAGTTCGGCCATAATTAACACTATTTTTCTTCTTTGGTCGGTTATCAACTTTCTTTATATCTAGAAGCATTTTTCTTCCTTGGCCATCTTTATTGTTCGGTTGGACTGTTGCTCAGTCAAGCTTATTCTGACACCTAATGGGGCCGAACAACACCTATGTAATTTACGCATGACACTTGCCCAGCTTGA